AAATTTGCTTCATGGAGTTCTAAGTGTCTCAGTTCTTCTCTAGCTCTTTCTCCTATCGTTCTACATCTATTTAGACGAGCATTTGTCATCTCATTTGTAAGCAAGTGATGGTTCGGGTATTATCTAGAGATAATAGTTTACCAGAATCTGCTTTCGGCGAAGAGTTAAAGGAAGAATGTTTGCTTCCACGTGAAGTGAGGCGACAGGAGTTGTTGGGTAACCTTATTGCAAGGTTCTGGATTTTATCTAGTGCTCCTAATAAAGTGTTGTTACCGCATGTGAGGTAGGCAGGGCTACCATAATTAATTTTTTATAGAATCAATGCTCTTATGTTAAGTAGAGTCTTGGCATGCGCACCCCATTTATTATGAGCTAAAACTCTGATTATGTTCAGCAACCTCCTACTTGTGGTAACAATGTTTTGCAGGTGTCTAGACCATCTTAATTCACTGTCAAATGTTAACCCCAGGAACTTGACCTCTTGGGGTACACATATAATTTGATCTATCATAAACAGGACTGGGTCGTAGTGAGGTTTACGAAGTCGACAGAAGTGAGTGGCCTTAGTCTTCTCTTCCGACAGCATCAATCCTACAGCGCTTGCATTTTCCCATATTTTATTTATTGCCATTTGTAATTTACGGGTTATGGCACCGATTGTTTTACCAGAACAGCAGATCATCAAATCGTCAACGTACAGGCATTTATCTATTTCCTCGGTGACACCCATTGCTATTTCATTAATGGCAATGCCAAATAGGGAACAGCTTAGTGTTGATCCCTGTGGCACCCCATTCTCTAACACCTGTACCTCTGAATAGGCGTCGCCCACCCTGACAACAAATGTTCTGTTTTCTAAAAAGGATTTGATAAATTTTGGTAGGTTACCGCGTATATGATACTTAAAGAGTTTTTGGAGTATTCAATATCTCCAAGTCATGTCAAATGCGCCTTTAATATCAAAGAATACCCCAACCAGGTGTTCGCCACTGTCAAACGTCCTTAGAATTCTGTCAGTAAGTCTGACAAGATGGTCAGTCGTTGACCGTCCCCTCCGAAAACCAGTTTGATAAGGTACGTACACATTGTAGTTTTCAAGAAGTGTTTGCAACCGCACATTAACCATTTTCTCGAACAGTTTACCCAAGCAAGATGTCAAACTAATAGGGCGATAACTCTGTGCCAGTAGCGGATCTTTTCCTGGTTTCGGTATAGGGACGATGACTGCCTGTTTCCATTCCGAGGGGTAAGTATGTTCATTCCAGCAATTATTAAAGAAATTTAATATTCTTTGTTGCATTTCAGAGGTACAGTGACGAAGCATCTGGTTATGGATACCATCATGACCTGGTGAGCATGACTTGGTACTACGGAGTGCAGTCTGCAATTCTTCCAGAGTAAAAGGTGAGTTGTAATCTAAATTTTCTTCTGTGTTAAAATTGATATACGAAGATTCTTTTTCAGGTTTAGTGTCCAAAAAGGTGGGAGGATAGTTAGAGGAGCTACTAACCTTGTAGAATTGATCAGCAATAATGTTAGTTATTTCTTGCAGATCATTTATAATATTGCCATCAGCGTTTCGCAGAAACGTCGGGTAATTGAAACTGATTTTACCAGATATAGCTCCCACTTTCCTCCACACTTCACTACTGGTAGTTTCCGGTGTCATTGTGGACACGTACTGTTGCCATGAGTTTCTCTGTGCCTCCAGTATTGCTCGGCGACACTGTGATCTTTGTTTCTTAAATTCTATAAGATTATCCATTGTGGGATTCCGACAAAATTTAGGTATTCAAAGCTTTTTTCTTTAACGAGATTTTTGCTTTAATGTCAGATGACCACCATGGAACCATCTTTCTTATTTTGCCAGGTTTTGATTTTGGGATGCTGGCTTCAGCAGCATTTATAATGGAGGAGGTAAGGGCTTTAAGAGTTCAATTATCCTGACTAGGGGGGACGAGCTGTTGTGTAAACCGTTCCGAGTTTGCTAGATTAATTTTGTACTTGGCAGAGTTTTGACCTCGGACTGTAATAACTATGGGAAAGTGGTCACTATGATATAAATCATTTTCCACCTCCCATTTTAAATTAGTATGTATAGCTGGTGAGCATACTGATACATCGATTGAATCAAATGACCTAACATTGAAGAACGTAGGTGAGTGGTCATTTAGCAAGCTTAAGTTTTTATTTTCAACGAGATTCAATAACTCTTTGCCTCGAGCATCATTTGAGGTAGAGCCCCAAACAGTGTTGTGAGAATTAAAATCTCCGACAAGAACAAAGGGTGTTGGAAGCTGATTTATAATTTGTTCAATTTCTCTTACCTCATATGTTGTATTGGGAACGTAGATGTTACAAATTGTAAAGGTTTTGTCGATTTCAAGTTGGACTGCCACAGCTTGGTAGGTTGTGTTTAATTGAACCTGTTTATAGGGTGTGCCTTTTTGAATGAAAAGAGCTACTCCTCCACAGGCTCTAGCAGGTGAGTAAAAATCTTTCCTTATTAGATTAAAATTTTTAACAGTAAACTTTGACCTTGGTTTCAGGTGCGTTTCCTGAAGAGCAACACACAATGGGGTGTGTTTTTGAATGAGAAGTTTCAGTTCGTTGAAATTATTGGATAGTCCTCGACAGTTCCATTGGATAATTTTTGTCGTATCCATTTTTTTTTAAATTTTTAAATAGAGACAATCACAGTGTAATAAATTACAGATAAATAAGAATTGTTGGTGTGAGGACAGGCACAATAAATATCTAAATATAAAAAATAGGTGTATCATAAAAATTTCTTATCACAGACAGTATTACACAAAAATATACGACACAAATATCACAGGCAGTTACGTATCACAGACTAACTGGTATGAGATCCCTCTCGAATAACAGAAGCTGGTTTTTCAGATTAAAAGGGAGCTAAATTTCTTCTGGGAAATTAATTTCTCTTCATTTAATAAAAAAAACCTCCCTGTGGAAACGTCTGTGGTTATCAGTGGTAAATAGTGGAAATTAAGGGAATTTTGAATATTTATTTTCTTACTAGGAAATAAAAAGATTTAGGAGTCAGTAAGGGGTAGTAAAAGTTGGAACCAACGGATTGTCGGATGTTCCTAATTTGTACCAGGAAACAACATTTTTGGTTGTGTACATAGACAGTAACCTTTTTTGGCTCACACATAACTGACCTTAATACGAAACCACTCCCTACGAATTTCGCAATCATAAACCTACGAAATTGCGTAAATAGTCAAACCATTAAGCAATACATCATTGTTATGCTCATTCGATTAGAAGGTACGGAATAATGAATTGTGCGTTCAAGCAAATAAAACCTATATTATTGCCAATATGTTCAAGCTTTCCTATACCGGGAGCCGTGTGCAGGTCTACTTTCAAAAGTCACAAAATATGTACTAACAGTATATGACATCTACATACTTAGTAAAGAATAACATACCCACAACATACATTTGAAAAATGCAGACAAAAAATACCAAACGCACAAGGAGAGAAATTCTACATTCCACAACATCGACTAAGCCTATTTGTAAATAGACTTTACGTTCTGTTAATAAAACTGTTCCACACCCTCCCTTTGGAAAATCAAGATATAGTTGAACTCGCACAGTTTAAATCGAAAGTTAAGAAAGATATCTCATAGATTTCGTGGGATGTCCGAAGATGTCCATTGGACATCCATGTATTTACACACTAAATGGATGTTTGGTGTAAAAAATTGTATCTATGATTTACCCTTCGTGTGTGGCATTTCTCAATTTTATGCCCTTAAAGATGATTAGAAAGGGGACGCAAATTATTATAAGTAAAGGTAGCTGTGAGCTTTCTAAAACAAAGTCTTGTAAATATTTGTTCTTGTTTAGAAACTGCGCACAGAATAGTTCTCAAACGTGTACATATTCAATGAAACAGTGTAGTGTTTGGAAAAAAAGTTCCAAGTCAATGTAACCACACATTCTAACAGATATTTGTGATGACGTCAAACTATCGGTCGATGACAATTAGCAATTAATTATTTATTTACTCAGATCTATCCAAATTGCCCTAGTCATGACTGATGAGATGCGGACAATATCTTGTTATCGCTTAACACGCAAATAATTTGTGAGAAATTTAATTATCTCTGGCCTTCAACTTAATATTTATTTGTAAATAAATTGTACCTAGTATTTATAATAGCAATACAACATTATCTAACCGTACTTTGCTCGCGCGTGTTTTCTAGACACTCGCGCAGGCCGAGTAATTTATTAGACATTCCAACCTTGATGGACTCTCGAAACTTTTTGGACATTTTTTGCTAATACAAAAACTACTTCATTTAATACTGTAGGTACAGTGTAATCATCCCTGTCTTACTTGGCTAGCTTTTCGCACGTAAGACTACTAAGGTACTGGTTGTGAATGGCGGGGTAGTATGCAATACCGAAAGATAGTTCGATCATTTTTAACCAGAACAACTCCTACCTGCCCATAAGAATTGTGTCATCGACATCGTTCAGTGACTGTCGATCTTGGGAATAAATTTGTATGCAAATTTAAACTCTATTGTGTCTCTTGCACCAATTAAATTGTCGTTGCGTATTCCATGCAGGAATTAATGTACTTTCCTAAAAGTTTTTACGTTTAGCTTCGCCAAATAATTTAACACTGGTGATTTTCGTTTATCGTACTTAATGATTGCAATTGCAACATTTTAATCAAAACATATGACCCTTGCCACTAATACCTACAGACAAAATTTCCTGGAACTCCTATTTAATCTTAGAATCAGGCTCAGCAAAGATCATACTTGATCTTTGTGCTCAGGTAGTGGAGGACTCCTGCACATTCTAGTTTTTGAGCTGATGCGCTCCGTTTGGTAGAATCTATACAAGGACCGCCAAGAGTTTTGGGACGTCCCTTAAACTTCACACCTTTGACGTAATGCGGTTAGTGGGCAAAACGCTGATAAGTAGTATCAGTTCAGTTCGATAATTCGTGCGCCGATTGTACGAGAAACTAAGCGCCTTTGCAGCGCCATTTAGTTTCTGTGATTATTCCCCCACTGGCGGTTGAAGTTTAAATAGCTTTGTACAAGGCGACCAACCGGTATACTTACCAAAGTTTTAGACAAGCGCGCTATATTTTTGTGTGATATTATGGCGAGATTCAGTAGTTAGGTGCTAGTGAAAATGTTGGAAATAGAAGGACGGTTTTTACAATTCGTTGCTGTTATATCAGGTACGTGCTATCGTGAGAACTGCACTCCTAAGTTCCGTCGTATGGATAAATAGTGACCTTTGCTTTTGTGGAATTTGATTAATAAAAGAAAGCGACCTTAGACTTTTTCCTTATTGCACACGATTTGTTATTTTATATGAAACTTTTATTATAAATTATTTTGTATTTAAATTACTATGGCCAAAATCAAAAAGCATCAAGCCAGTCAACATGTAATCTACGTGTCACATGCTAAAAGCGTGCAATCTCGCTTTAAATTAAGTAAACAATTGTCATAGACAGTTGTTCTAATTAAATTATCAGTTTAGTGTACTACAAATTGATTACTATGATAGGGAGATGACTGCTTATCAGTAGACACGCACAAAACATACCTTTTGCCGAAATCGTCCTGAATTTTAATACCTACTTTATCTCAGAACAGTGGCTGATTTCCCTACCTCTTGTCACTTTAACAGACTCCTGTCAAAACTGACACACTAATATTAATACAAAGGTTCTATTTCGCGAAAAATGTAACGCAAAACTTTTCAAAAAAATGACTAGGTACTCGACCCGGAAATTCAAGTACTCGGCCCCATGGGGGCTTCGTACTTCAATATTTCCTCGCCCGTAATGTGCCATTTTCCTAACACTTATGTAAATAACTATTGTTGAAACCCCCTTCAAGGGCAAGGCAGCCTGTTTTATGAGCTGATTACTCTATTTACCTATTCATTATTTAAGTGAGATGTGTTTTCAAATTTTATCATATCAGTGTTAATATATCTTTTTATCTAGACTGTACTTATACATGTACACCCATACAGGGTGTCACATTTTCGACACTTTTAAATAGTATCTCGTCGGAATATGTCATATTTCCAGATAGCAAACAAAATATACATTCTGCGCCATTTTTCCTTTTTCTACTAGAAGACCCAAGCTTTGTTACACCCCTACAAGCCCCACGAGGGGTCAATTGACCCTATATGTATTTCAATTGAATTTTTTATTTCCGATCGTATTTTTAGGTTATATTGAAGTTCGTTAATTATGGTTACTAAGCAGTTATATGTTTGTCATTTTTTTAAATTTATTTGGTATATTTACCATATGTAGGTACAGTGTGTTCGAGATAAGAGGGTCACTTCAATATCCCCTTTAATTGGCGAGATACTTGAAAAGAACACAATGTACATCCTGGCAGGCAGCATACAGCATGCTAGATTTCTAAATAATGAAGCAGGAATTTCTCTATTTTTCATCATTAATCATATGTGTATTTGATGTTGTCGTACTGCAAATTGACTGCTCTTTTCAAAAATCTTAAAAAACATGGGCATTGTATTTGAAAAACAATTAAGTTGCAACGATTTCCGGTTTATAACCGGGGAAGTTATATCGGAATATGCGATCGGATAGATAGTGATGAGTACACTTGCAGCAAATAATTAATTTGCAACACTTATTTACTTTCGGGAATTTTTGTGTTTTTTTTTATTATTACGGCCTACTCCGGTAGGTACATAAATATGTAATTAATTAATGGGTAGGTCCGAGGAGTAAACCACTTCGCGAAATCGTGTCACAAATTTCAATAACACTCTGGAAATCACGTTAAAACTTGCGAAAATCGCGAAATCGCTTGCGAAATCATTACATTTCTGAGAACTTTATTGCGATTGCGCCTACAGGGGAAGGTGTTTCTTTGATTATAGTCGATGAGCAAAAGGTATTTGAAATCTGTTGCAGGTTCTAGCACTCGCCGATTCTTTCGCGAAATCCCTAGGACATTTTCCTAATCTTTTAAAAGCTGCGAAATCCCTAACTATTTCGCGAAATCCGCAACTATTTCGCGAAATCCCTTACAATTTCACGAAATCTCTTCGAAATCTCTTTGAAATGCGCGAAATCCCTTAGGTACAATTGCGCGAAATCCTTGTGAAATCGCATCGATTTCGCGCAATACTGTCACAATTCTTAATAGTGGTTAACCCCTCGGGTAGGTCCTTTTGTGAAAAATATTAAATAATCTAAAAGCTACGAGGTTTAGAAACGGGGAATCCCTTGTAAAAGTGAAAGCAAAAAGAGAACACAAAAGACGATTAAATATCGAAATAAATTAGGGGTAGTTCCATTTGAAAAAAAATTGTTTTGGCACTTTGAAAGTCGGACACTTGATTTCATTGTGAACACCTTGTATCACTAAATTAAACTTTCTCATTATTAAAGTGTTGCTCTTTACTCGGATTAATATTATTACCTCGATTATTACTCAAATTTATAGGACGGGAACATTGACAAAAATCCATGTGGAGGTTAAAAAAAGTAATCGAAACAACCAAAAATATACAGCGTGTTATATTTAAAAAGTTAAGTGTTGATACCGTAAAAATGAGACATGTACACTGTGTCCAAGATAAGGATATCTATCATGGGGATCTCCGAATCCATAGAAGACTTTTTTTGTGTGCCGTACATAGTTGTATTCGTAAAAAAATGCTACTCAATACAGCATATCCTTTTTTAAAGGGTCATATAAAAAATAAAGGTCATGATCATTTTTCTCCCAAACGAAACGTTATACTGAAAATCGGCAAATTTCGGTTTTTCTGGCATATCTTCGGAAGTAATCGAAATTTTCTAGCATGATAATAACTCTTTAATTAATAAATTAATAAAAATACCTGTGGGGGATTTCGGTGCAAGTTCGAGGATTTCAAGGATTTTTTGGTGATTTTTGAGTATCTCCGAGGGAATTTCCTGGAATTTCCGGGTATTTTAAGGGATGCGTTAACGCATACGCAATAAACATAGTCAACATCCATTTGTGGTAAATCTGCCCCTGTAAATTCTCCATCAAAAATATAATAATATATTTATGCATTGTAAACTATCGTGTTAATAATAATATGTTGATTGTAATTGGCTGTTATTATTCATAGGTGATCTAAAATTGAGATGAGACCATATTTACTAAACAGTATCCCCGTGCTTAGTGGAGGAGGTACACCAATTTCACGCACTAGCGAAATATTGAAGAAAAATTCGGTCAACACAGGGGATTAATCCGTTGGTGTCCAGCTTTCATGAACGTTAATTTTCCTTTGAGCCATCTCCTGATGAGAGAGTATTCCAACGGGTGCATTAATATTTCTAGGGGAGAAACTTCTGGAGCGTGTGTTTCGAGATGAATATACTCGTATTCCTGGGACAAATCTTCCGGGGCAAAATTTTTAAAGGGCTAATATTCAGAGAGAATCTTTCGGGGGCGATAACTTTTTGAGAAAATTTGCTACACCTACAAATCGGAAAAATCTATTTTCTGAATTTGAGCACTTTATCTACTCTCAAATAATTGCAGTTATACTCTTTGGTTTTACTTTGCTTCAACTAGTAGTTCAAAAGTGACCATTCGTGTGATATAATGAATATGGAAATTTATCTCGTTTACATAATTCATGATTATTTCTTAAATTAATTTGAATATTAATAGTATCAGTAAACAAATACTAGCTAGACAGATGCATATGCAGATGAAACGTCAAGAACTGAAGTGTTTCCAATTCCATTGGTTATGCTAAAACTGCAGCCAAATAAAAGAGTATGGGAAGATTTTCATTCATGAGAACTTGTCCCTTCCCCTTCCACAAAGTTATAGGAAACGGTCCTGATAAATATTCCGTTCTGTTCTCACAATCAAGGCACGAACAATTAATTTTGAAATGTGGGAGACCAACCTTACGCAGTGAGCCATTGTTCCCAATCCTGGAAGGATTTCCCATAGGTCTAAAGCTCTTGATTAGTTGTTAAAAAATAGGGAAGAATCAATGTCGTTAAGAAAATGTCGTTGAGTCACTAACGTTCCCATAATTGTAATTGGCAAGGGGAGGGGAGGAGTTACATTTTGTTTTAAAAGGAATTAAATTGTCTTTCTGTTGTAATCTTGGTGGATAAATTTGGTCTATTATATTACAAAAAAATTCCTATGCAGAATTTCTGAAAGTTATTTCATTATTCACCTAAAGTACTTTCAGCTAAGACCTCCGATTTGTCTCGAAAAGCTTTGTTATTTTAGACGTCCTAGTTTTTATTATTTTTTTGATATAAATATACCTACGTTAAATATGAAAAAAACTAGATATAAAGAAAAATACTCCTAAATCGAAGGGTTTTTGGATTATTGGAGTTTTTTCAACATTTGTTGGGATTAATTCGATTATTAATAACTGCCACAACAGGTCGGTACACACAGGGTGCTTAGGTTAAGGTTCTAAGTTTTTAAAATTTGAAGACAATCTTTAAATGGAAGGTCTTTTGCTTTAAAAATTGATTCTACACCGAAAATAATGGCAATTTATGGAGTTACACCAAAATTGCAATATATTTCGGAGGTCATTACGATAAAAAAATGTTATAATGACAAATAACAGTTGATTCGGCATTGACTACGATAGTAAACACGATAATAAAAAGGGATTTGTTAATCATATTGTAACGTAAGTTTAGATACATGGTTTATTTACAATTAATCATTATCCTTAAATAGATTGATTTATAAGAGTTAATTATACTTTATCACTCATTTGTACTGAAATTTATAACATGTAAACGACCCCGAAATCCATACGGCTTCGATGTTGGAGCTTCATTATACAAGCTTCAATTTGATTATATAGCAAACGGAAGGCTTCTAGAGTAAATCGCGGAACATTCTCGAAGAGAATGTGAGGTGTATCGTATTTTAAAGAAAGAATGCATAGCATCCTCCTTCATCCCTTATCGCTGATCACTAAACTTTTATTGACTTGATGGCGCCCCGATGTCTGGGATACTCGCTACAATACGTTAAATTATATATATTTTTTTAACTTCTTTACTGTCTCCGAAGCAAAGAGGAATTCATCTGTCGCTAATAACATTTTCTATATTTTAATAACCTCCGAATATATGGTTAAAATTTTCCGGTCGTGGATGCCCGTGTATAAGAAGATTAAGGTAACGGACACCGCGAATTA